TGTGCTTGTGCACTGATGACTGTATACACATGCATGGTCAATGTGTGTTTGTTTTATTTTTTTCAAAATTATGTACGGTTGGGTAGTTTTCTAAATCATTTGTTTTATTTATTTTATTATTATTATGATTTCTTTTCTATTTGCATTGCATTTTATTGCCGATATAAAGCAAAAAAAAAAAAAAAGAAGAAAATAAACAAATAAACAAGCAAAGAAATAAAGAAAAAAAAAAAAAAAAACAACGAATAAATGAAAAGAGAAAAAAAGGACATTTTTTTTTTTTTATATACATGTTAGAAGCCAGTTAAAATTAGAAACCACTAAACACAGTTCTTAAGGGGTGACTGGTTTTCACATGGATATGGTATTTGAAAAACCCTATTTTTTTTTTTTTTTTGTGTTTTCATTTTTCAAACACCCGCTCCCTCTTCTGCAGCTAATTTTTCTAAAAGCACATTAAAAACATTTCGTTTTTTTTTTTTTTTCTTTTCTTTTCTAATGTTTAGAAAAAGGCAAAAAGAACGAAACCATATAAAGCCGGTAAGGCAAGGAATCCCTTTTCAACCTAAATAATAACAACAAGAACAACAAGAACCGAAGGAGAAAAATATGCCAAAAAAGTCTGAACAACATATTTCAGTAATTCTGTCCGCTTGGCTTCTTCGTGGTTGTTATCCCAGACTTTATCGTCATCATTATCATTGCTGTTATTTATATTATTATGGGTTCTCCTTTAATGAATTTTGACCCTTAGAGTGGGACTGGCGTAGGTAGGGAGTGTGAAGGAGTTTTTTTATTTATTCTCATTTTTTTTTTTTTTTTAACCATGTTTTTGTATAAAGCAATAAAACCATTAAAACGTTTCTTTTTCCTTCTTTTTTTTGACATATATTTTTCATTTTATTTGAACGGAACAGCCGGCGAACTTTAAATGTATGTTAGAAGAATAAAATCCAAAGTTTAAGGCGGCTTAAGCTAAGCTAAAGAAAAAAGAATTTTTTTTTTTTTTTTTTTTTTTGATGACTCATAACTGTCAACATGTTCTAATGTTGTTGTTGTTGTTGTTGTTGTTATGGTTGTTATACCAAAAAACATTTATTATTGAATTTGTGGTAACGTAGATTTTAGCCTATCGATAAGTCACCTAAATTTATATAAAGGTATTAACACACAATATAGTGCCCGGTAACCGGTTACCAGTAAAGTAAAATCGAAAATTTATATTATGTTGCTCCCGAGAGTAATAACAGAAACGAACAAAAACTTTTTTAATAACACAAAAACGTAAATCAAATTTTATGACCCATTGTGTCTCTTATCCATACCAATATACACATCCACATACATATGTACATATATATGTATGTATACGTACCTACACGTACGCATTCAGTTTATCCAAATGTCGCATCTTTAGCAATTTAGCCAATATGAGCAATATTAACAGAAACCAGACAAAAACAAAAAAAAAAAAAAAGCAGAAGCAAAAAAATATGAAACCCAAGTAGACAATATGTTCGTTGATATTAATGTATTCGTCGCATACATACAACAATGCATGCATGCATGCATGCATATGATGTATAAGGAGTTATGCCGGCCACCTACAATACTATTTATAACCAGTAAATGATAAAGCATACGTACATATATATATAAATATATATAAATAGATGAATAGGGTGTAAAATACCAATTACATCGCGTACACTCACTCACTTATGTACACATGTAGTACATACTCTCGTACCCGTTACTTGCGTCATGCAGACACCATTAATTCTTCCTTTTGTGTGTATATATATATATGTGTGTGTGTGTGCGTGTGTGTGCGTGTGTGTGTGTGTGTGTTATTGTTTTACAGTGTTAATAATGGTCATATATATCAATTTGGCGTTAGGCTGCCAACCTTTCACCGCAACAGGAATTTTTGCGGTCGTCATACAATAAATACGTACAAAACACATTTGTTGCTATTGCTGTTGGATATTTTACAAATTAAAAAAACAAAAAAGAAAAAGTGGCAACAAAGTATTCACTAAAAGTGACCGCAAATAGTGGCCTGAACTACTGAGTCTGCGGAGATACGACAAAACACGTTTAGTTTATAACGCAAAAAAGAATTTCATCGCAAATTAAGTATCCCGCGTATACGCCAACCATCGAAAATTACACAAATGCCGCTAATATGAAGCATACCTAAAAAACATATGGAATGATTAACAAAATGTGTAGGTATGCAAATAAGTCATGACCGGTTGACGTTCTTTCTTTTCTTAAACGAAAAAGCGCTTATTTCAAAACAAATCTAGAAAATTTCGTTATTGGCCATCAGTTACAGCTTACAGTTTTGCCTTTCTTTCGTTTTTCTTTTCATATGATTGGTCATTATTTAGAGGATGTCCGCTATTCGGGTAACGTGATGGGTAGCGGAAAGAAAGAAAGAAATGTGGAAACGATGATCGCAGCCTAGCGAACGTAAGTTCAACGATAAGGCCGACACGGCTATAAGGCATTCCTGCATACCTGCAAGATCCCTGTATTGCAAACACAGTGCTCAGAGAGAAGAGGAGAAAGAGAGAAAAACATAGAGAATGGCTATGCCTTCACCGACTGCGCACTCACTTTAGCTACGACTTGCATTTCCGGCAAGGGTAACGCGCTTAAACAAACTGCAATCTCGACAGTAGGTCATGTGAAAGTGCTGAACGGTTTGGTTAATAGACGCAAATTTTTTACTTTACCATAGTATGTGCCTTGGAAGTACCTACACACAAGCACCGCACAGTCGTGCGGTTCCACGGACCGCGGACCACGTTACTATGCGAAGCCTTAAAGTATATCGAGAACGCTGGGCAAACCTCATTCATCGATGAGTAAATCAGCCTGTCGTTCCACGCAAATCTCCAGCATAAACTTGGATGCTTCTAAAGGCTCGATGCAAACACAAATGAATCCATTAGGTCAACTGATAAAAACAATGTAATAAAACAAAATGTAATGTAATGAACACACTACTTGAACATACTGCTTGTCAGTGTGGACGTCACACATTTTGCCACACCTTCTGCATATTTAATTTGCTGTATTTACATGTACAGCATTGCAATCCTAGACGTGTCAACAAAACTATCAATTTATGCTAACATAATTGATTCCTTTGTTAACGATAATATCGAATGTCATGATTGTCATAATACTGTCTTTTATGTTATTTTTAGCACATCCTTTCATGTAACATATATTTCTTGTTGCCAATGATTTTGTTTACAAAAACTTTCCGATAACTTTTTAATTAAAAATTTCTTTAAGGAATGGAAGAGGATCTATTTAATAAAAATTAAAGAAGAGTTTTCAATGGAGCAGGAAACATTTTTTTGTTTTGTTCACCATGTGCATGCTACAATAAGTTCACTCACAAATGCCGACTCGTTCATATTAGGTAATAAGAACGCAATTATGATTAATTGGAACCGCGAGTATAGTTCTACTTCCTTTTTTAGGTTAAATGCATAGCTGGTACTTTAGCGTAAATGTCTTTGGGCCGCGCAATATAGAAATATTTTTATGGCGAAACTGCGACACAATTGACACTGAAACTTATACTTATTTCATAAATTTAGGTTTACGGGAAAGCTGTGTCCGTTCCGGTTACGACAAGTTTCAACATATTTCATTAAAGATAAACATACTAACATAGCAAACGAACGAAAATCATTCGTTAGGATTAAGTGGGACATTATCGTGTGCCCTTGGCTATTGACAAGGTTTGTTTACGGCACTGTATTTTTAGTGAATTCCTAGATGGAAGAAGCGCTACAAAAGCACATAGAGATTTATTGAAAGTGTTCGCGATGAGTATACAATGTCTGATATAACTTACAGAAAATCGGTCGAAAAATTTTAAATAGACGATTTCGATCCCTCAGATAAACTGCGATCTAGACGATCCTCTGTCATAGACGACGATACTGTGAAATTCATGACAGAGAAAAAGCCTTTTTTGACAACATTGGAGATTGCGAAAGTGCTTGATTCCACTTAAAAAATCAGTTTGAACCATAATCGGAAAGTAGAATTCTAAAAGCGAGCAGCACTCTCCGGTGGCCCTTATATATACTTTGGTTGGCACACAATTCTATATAGCAGTTAATCGGCTACAGACTTCAATCTGATGGGTCCAAAAAGAGCTATATTTTCGACATCCGCAAGAAATACGTACAATTTGGTATTTGTCTTCAATGGAAAGTAAAATGTATGGGTTCTCATAGTGAAAAAAACATCTGTAGCTTTAGTTTCGGGAAGACTGGGCAAAATTTCCATTTTTGTAGAAATAAGGGCCAATCCATGGCTGAGTTTTATGCTGATAATAAGCAAATTGTGATTACCAGACGGGGTGGGGGACAAGCAGGCACATGAAGAAATCAGTTAAGTGCACATATATATATATACATAGCATAAGTGGTCACCAGGGCGCTTCTCTACCCATTGAAAATGTTCACTGAGCTCACGATATCTCTAATATAATAAATCGGGTGATTTATATTATAAGCAGATCGTAGTCACTTTAGGAATAAATCATACTTTCTAAAAGTGGATAATTTACAGCAATTAAATCCATAAGAAACTTATATGTGTGTGTTAGGACAAATCTAAAGTATCATAAATTTTAGATTAGTATGAAATTCTAAGCCGATTAACTTTTATATTCTTCGACGACACACATATATAAAATTCTAATTTCAACGTACTTTATCATGTTTCAAGCAGACAGAGCTTTAGTTAAGATTCTGACATAAGGTAATAGTTGAAAAATGAACAAATTAATCTCCAACAGAATGTAGTTGATGTTGACTAAAATCCATATGTAAAACGTGCGGATGTGAAAATGTTATATATATGTTTATATATATGAAATATGCATATTTGAACAGACATCAATTTCGAGCATATTTACTTTATTTTATTTAATAATAGCATCCAAAATAATGTATTCATACTTTCATACTGGCATCATCAGTGTGCTTTGAACCATGAATCGCTGTTTAATATATAAATTAAATTCTTTTTCTTTTTTGATAGTCTACCTTTAAGTGAATTAAAACTCTTTTTCTATTGCCTACTTTCGATTATAAAACATTATGTTCTTACAGCTTTTAAAAAAGTTTTTTATAGCCTATTTTTAGGTGTTCAATATAAAACATCACTTTTTTCTCCTCTTTCGAATTTTACATAGTTGTGTGTGATATTTTTTCCATTTCATATACGACGACGCTTTTCTTTTTTTTTTTTCTTTATCAGAATTTCACGATTTCTCTTTTAATGAAATCAAAACACAAACACATGAATTTTCATTTCATGTATTCGTTAACACACAAAAAGCTTAAAATGTAGTTTCTGTATTGTGTCGACTGTGATATACCGGCCGAACAAACGAATTGAGTTGTTTCGAGCTGATTCAAGTCAGGATACGCTTGAGCACACACGACAACCACAAGTAAATGTACCATTTCGGTTAACACACAAATAACCGCAATATAAGGTTGACCGACTACTACACCCTTTTTACTCTCCCTTTACTCAAAATTTATCAGCAATCGCACACCCATTCGCGTACATTCAAACTAACCAAACATACAAGTACACATAAATACATAACATATACACGCACACGCACACACACACACACACAAACACACACGCATACAATACCATACTAAAAACCTCGAAATCTAACAATTTGCATATCTATCGATAAACAAAAGAGCCGTAAAAAAAAAAAGAAGAAAATAAACCAAAAATGAAAGTTTTAATACACACTCCCACGCATACAATTACACAAAATGAAATTGAATGAATAGTAAAAGTAGTAGACCATGACAACATATGTGTGAGGTAGCTATTATATCGAAAAAATCGGGAGCCTATAAAAGCAGATAATCTGCTTTTGAGTTATATACGTTTTTTCATTGAATATTTTTTTCAATTAGTGATCGAATATAAAAACAATTTTTGGAGAATATAATAAAAACGTTGTCCCTAAAAGATTTGTTGATATCTATTGAAACTAAAAAAAAAACAACAACAACAACAACAACAACAAAAAACAGAAAACTATTCTACGCTTTGAAACGATTCCGGATTATACGTTATTTAATGAATAGTTTAGTATAAAACGGCTCTCAAATTGATAGAAGAATTTAAAGGAACGTTTAAAACGGGCGCTTATATAAGGCATCACGTTGACTATTGACATGTATCTAAATGATTTTTTTATAACCAAGCTATGATTTTACTGAATGCTCCTACTAATAATGCTCTGACCAAAGAAGAAGAGAATGTCTTTGCTTAAAACTGCACTTCAACTTGAAATCGCTCGTGTCAACAGTCATCCTGCGCTAAATTCATACACTCGAATATCCTAATCAGGCAGCCAAGCGACGCAGATCACATAGAAGGCACACAGTTGCAAACCATCGCTTTATGCACTGGGCGTCTAGCTGCCTGCTTGTCTTATTGTCTGCCAGCCGGACAATCCATTCGATAGTTTGTCTCTTTGTTTGGCCCTTTGAAAGTCTATCTGTCTGAATCTCGGTTTGTCTGACTGTACAATTGACTATCAAACTGACTGCTTGTCTCTCTATTTATCCAATGGCGTGCTCGTCCTTTTGTCCTTCCCTAGCTCCCTTCTCTTTTACCACTAAACACTAACCTAAAAATCTGTATTTATTACATACGCCCGCCCACAAAAAGGACAAACTTTTTCACTGTCGCTCGATAGAGGCTATGAATATAAACCTTTCTTTACCACAACTAATTAAAGCAAAAGCTGGTTTGACCAATGCGCAAGCATCGCCCCAATAAGCAAGCAACGCTTGACAGAAACTTGTCATACATACTTTACAGGGCCCTTTAAATGTATAGTGGAAAAATAATCTTCACTCCAACGCCATTCTTACAACCAGAGTCGTGCAGTGGTCTATTGTGGCGGGTTTTACAAAATTCGCTCCACGGCGAAGGTGACTTTCTTAGATGCTTTCTCACGAGAAGAGCGACGATCATACAAAGACAAGGTAGGTGGATGAACAAACCTAAATCGTATCAGGAAATTGCGTCGGGTCAATTACTTTGAGTATAAATTTCTAAGTATTACAAACCGAATGTACGATTTAGTTAACTTCCATACTCGATGATGCCTATGAAGAATAAATAACAAAAAATGAAGAAATAAAAAAAAATGTATAAGAAAGAAAACACAAAAGCAAAAATGGGAAAATTTATTGACATTTTGAATACACATTTGAATTTATTGCATACCTACATGCAGGGGAACGAAAAGTGAATGAACTAGTTTTGAAAGAGATTTCAAGCTGCACACAAAGAAAAAATTGAATTTTACTTTTTCTGTCGCATCTATTTTAATATTAAAGACTAAGGCTTTAAACGATAACAAACAAGCGAATATCGTAGGATTTTTTATACAAAGTTTACTTGAATTTAATGATTTTTGATCAACATCCTGTAAAGGTAATGATAGACCTTTACTGTCTTTAAACGTAGTTATTATAGACTCGTCGTATATGCTGATTCGCAGAATAAGAAAAGGTTCCGTTGTATAATTAAGTTCGCCTTAAGCTCTTTCACTGATGTCATTGCAACTCACTTGGCACGCAGACCTTGTTGTATAGTTAAGTAGTTATGTAACTTGAAACATTTTAATATGAAATTAAAGGCAAAAATCCTAGATGCAGCGAAAAGAAACAGTTACAGCGCCAGTACAGAACAGATCTTACAACTGGAGAACGACTTGCTGAGTCAAGCAGTGACCAAGCACGGCAAACACTGAAGTATCGCTTAAGCCAGCGTAGCAATTGCGCAGAGCAATCGTCCTCTTGTAGAAGGTTAGATGCCAAATATTGATTGGATTTGTGAGAACATGCGTGCCCTGGACACTTTTGTAACAAATTTTAAACGATTTTGTAACATGAATATAAGAAAGTGACTTACTTCCGCCTTCAATATTCCTCTTTTCAAGAGGGAGACAACAAATATTGAACACACACAGTTTTCATTACGCTTTCGGTCTTGATGGATTATGAGAAATCACAAAGAAAGATTTGCGAAAGCTTATTAAAACTGTAAGGAAAGCTTAACAAATTTATACAAAAACTTTTGCTTTTTGTCGACTTGTAACCGCAAATAACACAAAATGCTGAGGCAAAGAACAAAAAAAAAATCGTAAAGATTTGCTTGTTTTTATTAAGTTCACTACCCACCCGACGTAATGAAATTAAATGATCTTGAAAGAACATTGCTTGGATCAACTTTCCCTCCTACAACCTAAAATATCAGACACTACTGAGTATCAAAAGCCAGAAAGAGCGCGTACGTGTCTTACAAATTTGTTGCTAATTCTTTTCATATCTATTAACCATCTTTAGTTCCAAGACTAATAAAAAATCGCCGAAACAAAAGCTATGTCGATAAGTCGTTCTTACCAAGTTTTTTGCACATTCGTCGCTCGCAATTTAGGGAACGTTCTTGCCTTTCTTGACCCTGGTTGCGTTTCTTGCCCATTTCTCTCAGGAGAACTAACATACTTCATCTAAGCTTAAAAGAAAGTCGCAATGCTCCGTAGATTTGTTGCACATTCTTGTTATGTTTGATTTCCACTTTTTTGCAAGAAACCTAATGAACCTCACCGAGATAAGCGAAGAGCACCGCAATGTGTTATTATTTTGTACCAAGTTGTCTGTCTTTCGCATTACACTAATGAATGTCTCCGGATGTATAAAAGAACCCGGTTAGGGTTGGTGCTCCCTTTTTGCACGAGAACCCAGTGTAAGCCAAAAAAATGGCCGATATGTGTAATAAGTTTGTTGCGTCCGCTCATTAAAGTATTTCTGCTTTATTTGCGAGAAACCTAAGGAGCACGAAAATTGACGAATTCACCGGATTGCAAAAAAAGAGCACGATTACATTTGTTGCCCGCTTTGTGCACGAGTACTAATGGGCACTGTCAAAATCAGAAGAGCACCGCAATGCCCCATAACCTTATTGACCATTTTTGTTACGCTCGTTGCCCAATTTTTGTTTTCTTTTGCGAGAAACCTGGTAACGGTCGCCAAAATCAAAGAAGAACTTGCTGAGTTTGTTACCCAGTAGTGTAATGAGGAAAAGAGGTCAAAAAGAGAGCAGAACCCCTATGCAATCAATGCACATTATCAAAGGTAGCATTCGGTTTTGAACTGAGTAAAATAATTGCAGGCACACAGTAACGAAATACTTCATAGATCCTATACCTATTTTCGGTAAACTTCTTTTCCGATGATGATATCGTCCGCATTGTAGGGTACCCAAACAATCAACTCATGCGAATCAAATTTAACTTAACTTACACTTCCCCGTTACACAGGATACAAGATCTTACATTTCCTATATATTTCAAATGTCGTGTAATAAATTTTTTGGTCAAAACACTCTTTTATAACAAAAAACAACCAAACCTCGACACTTTTATAGGGAATGGGACCCACAAAAAACATTCACATGATCTACACTCTGTAGGGTTAAGTTCTGTACCAAAACACTATTATGGATCAAGTTCCACCATGCAATACTGGAAATTAGACCTTTTTATCATATTCAGAAGATTCAATTTCCGCAAATAGAGTTACATGCGAACGGATTCACAAAATTTCGCTATTCCATCAAAATTTTTCTCATCAATTTCGAACACTGAAGTACTATCACTCACCGGTTTTTTGTCCTGAAAGCGGGGACTGTTGGGGAGAGAACCGAAAAGGGGGCACGATCCAATTCATTTTCAATAGAATTCGTTGCTGGTTATAAATACAAAGGAGCGAGTTGAAAACATCAGTCCATCCAATCTAAATATTTCACAACAGCTTAATATGCCGAAAAATAACAAGCAAGGGATTATATGGAGAGAGGTCTAAGAGTTAGTCCGATCCGAGTATACGTTGATCACCATTAAAGGAAGAGACAAACTTAGATCGATTGAGAATCATTTTCAGAACCATTTTCTGAATTGATCAGTATAATAAAGGGTGGCTCTATCCTAAATCCTTCTACCCTATGCTACAAGTAGTGTAGGAGAGCTCAATAAATGATTCAATAGTAGCATGGAGCGCTATATATAAAGCGTAGGGATGTAGTCAATGGGCATTAATGACTCATCCTTCCTGGGAATCCCAAGTTCATGTGAACAGCTTCCGTTCGCAATCGCTAGCATGGAAGTGATTTAACGCACCTCTAGGTCTAGGAAATACGCGCTGATATTTGCACAGAAGCGCGCATGCAGCCCAGAGCATCTGAGGAAATTACAGGCCTATTATTGCTAGAAGCCAACTGTCTAGTCAGGAAGCAAGCGTCCAATAAAAACATAAACTACCAGATACGACCCGACTTTTACAAAAAGATCGAAGCACTCATACGCTTTGCTGTGCTTGTTAACGAAGCCGAAATCACAAAACCTTGAACGCAACTTGAAAGCATTTATTTATTATTTTTGAATCGCCCCACGAACTAAGAACAGCCTCACGCGACCACACATGGATCCGAGAAAGAGCAAGGAATCTGGTTTACACACTTAAATCCGGACCGTGTAACCTC